TGGTGTACTCAACATTTCCGGGTTCACAATGGGCTGGCTACTAGACTACAGTATGAATTACCTTCATAAAAATCAGGCTTTGAATAAGATATAATTTATGTGTTATGTTATGATACTCGTTTCGAGGCACCTGGCTCACCGACACAATGCTGCTTTATCCTGTTAAAACAATTTTCATAACGTGTATTAATTTTTATGAAAAACACGTTTGATTCTTTTGATCTGAGGAACTTTACGGACTAAAGGAACATGAATAACTCACTGGGTAATCAAGGAACGGACACATATGCTGACTTTAAGACAGCTTTAGAGGTAGGGATGTCAACACTTGTTTACTCTTCCTGCAAGTAAATTTTAATGACTTACAGTCTTCTCTGGTGCTCATGGTTTCAGTAACATGAAATCAATCAAGCCAACAATGTGCAGCATCTCCATATTGATAAGTTTAACCCTTTAAATTATCTCAAGTGGGTAGTCTACAATCTGGTTTTATATATCTAAAGAACTTCTATAAAAATCAACTGCTTGCCAACCAGACCAGGCCTCTGCTTGAGACAGGTATTTATTTGTCAAAAGGTGTAGCTTCAACCAGCTAGTATAAAGGACTGGGCGTTTAATTGGGACTCGGCCTTTGATTAAAGTTTTATGGTACATTAAATAACAGACAAAAAGTGAAATCTAAATTCTACTGAATTTGAAATCATAGTTGAAGTTTAAGCCAGCTGAACTCGTCAAAAATAAAAGCATAGGAAGACATGGAAAAGATGAAAAATAGGCTAAAGCCAAATATGACACCGGGAAATTCTTGCACTATACTTTTACTGACAACTGATGGTTTTTGTGAGGCTTCTCCTCCACTTAACAAAGTGCAGATGCTTGGAGAGAAATAAAAACATAAATGTGGGTAGCTGCAGACTGACAGCCAATTGAATAAGATCTACTTCTCCCTGCAGTTGGAGGGGCATTAGGAATAAAGCTCAACCGAATGGATGGGTCATACATCATTGAGCATTACTCGTGCTGCGCTGTGTCTCTAAAACACAAATTGGATTACCTGTGCACCCACGCGGATCACCCGAATTGGACAGGCATGGGCATACAGGACACACACACACACACACACACACACACACACACACACACACACACATATATATACCCATGCATGTGCAAAATGCATGATGCAAACATTGTAAAAGTCACAAATCCATGGGGCTTTACTGGGCTCGCAGTTAAAGGAGTTTACACATACAGCACCTGCAGTCCATCTCTCTTTAATCCACATACAAACGCACACATACACACAGAGTGCAATTTTTGTTCCCCGATAATAAATGCCACATTATTGTGATGTACAGCGGAGGGCCACATCATATAAAGGTTGCCGTGATGGAATCTCCATTTGAAGCTGCCGGCCTTGACATGCGAAATCAGATCCTAAAACTGTTTATGGCGCTATGAAGCCAGACAGCATCCCTCTTCTCCAGTAAACAATCCGCTGGGAGCTGATGATTTATTAGCGAGGCATCCAATAAATCTGAATACTCATCTTTCTAAACAGCCCATTTCTAGATTTGGACTTTTTAGAAGGCAGTTTTTTTTTGTTCATCACAGTCTGGTGGCCAAGGCCCAGTCTTTCCAGCTGAGATCATCACTGATGCAGCAGCAGCAGCAGAGCCTCAATAATGAATCCAGGACTTTACAGCCAGCCACTAATTGAGCCATTATTATTATTTGGAACAACACATTTTAAATGGAGCCTCATATCAATAGGTCACACCCAGTGTAAACCAAGAAGCTCTTTGTGCAATCTAAAGGGTTGTAAAGGCCACAGTGGCTGTTTAGTTTAATAGGAAATTAGGTTTTTGTAAAGAGAAGCACTGATAGCGTCTGGAGTTGGTAGTGATCAAGCTCTTAAAGTGCTCGTACATGCATCAAAAAGCAAGTTTGTACTGATACCAGCAGTGAAATAAGTTGCTCTTTGGCATAATGAAATTAATTTTTCTAGCTTGAGGAAAAACACAGCAGTGAGGGGAATCGCAGCACTGCAGCTTCAAACCAAAGAGACATTCAAAGTGGTGGTGCAGTTCCCTCAGCAAACAGAAATCCAATCATTATTTGGATTTTTTACTTCAAAATAACAGTTTATTTTTCACTTTTTGAAAATTCATGCAATTAATTTAAGAAATGTTGATATCAAAATATGGTATGAACAAGATTTTGGGGATAAAAAGAAACTACAGAGCTGACAAATAATTATGTAATCACAGTATATAAACAACTACAGCGGATGTTTACCAGAATGGGATAAACTCATTTTATATCTCCTCTGTCTTGTTCCCTGCCCAAACAATTTTCTACAAACCCTCATCATCATTATCATAATAATCATTACTTTTATAGTATTAAGAAGGACTGTTGTGAAAGTGAATATTAAGCATGTGTTCTATTTGTTGTCCTGAAAACTTTGTGTGAACCCTTTTAGGTTCAGGGCTGCAGCTATTAGTCATTTCTATCATCAATTAATCTGTTGTTTATTTTCTTCATTAATTAAACAAAATGTCACATTTTCCCAGAGGCCAAAGCAACATCTTAACATCACTTGTTTTGTTCAACCATCGGTCCAAAAGGTGGAGTGTATGTCAAGAGCATTAAAGTAAGAAGAACTGAAAAAGCACAAGCCATTCAGGTTGCAGCACCAAAACAAAGGAAGACAAGGAAGACAAAATTCATAAATTTACAAATATCGTATTCTCTTGTTGTTTGTTATTTCATTTGTCATTACCTCTAAGTAATAACTAGCAGTAATAGTAGTAGTAATAAATACTATAAATATAAAGATAAAAATAACAACAGTCGCAAGAGAAATATTAAGTGTGGTGGATATGCTGGGTCCAGTGCTGTGTCCAAAACCCAAAGCTATTTAATGAACTAGTATATATGACAAAGAAGAAAGCAAAAGCTAAAGTCTGAGAAGTTGGAACGAGCTGATAATTGACTTTTTTCTTGGAAAGTGACTGAAACGATTTTCCAAAACAGTTGCCAATTGTCAGCTATTAATTCCCTAATAAACTACACCTGCCAACCATATCATGCACGACAGGAGACATGCATCTACTGCTACATATAGCTCACCTTGCACTACATTAGCTAACATTACAGCTTAGCTGAGAAAGATGCTATTAATATTTATATTTATCTTGCACTGTCATGAGCACAAGTCTGTCTTTCTTGAGAAGGTGCACACTTCCTTTTGCATGGTGATACGGTCGGTGGGTGTGGTTCGGTAGAAAGTAAATAGCCCCTACATGCAACTGCTTACAGGGTCTGTGGATTATCAAGTAAGCGGGTTATAATTTCAGGAAAGAGACACTGTGGTTGATTTTTTTTTTTTTTACGTATTGAACACCACAAGCCGAGTGCCATCTAGCTCCATTATATCCACTGTGGGGAGCCCCAGGGCTCAGTGCTCGGCCCAATACTCTTTTCCATTTACATGCTTCCTCATACATGGGCATAATATTAGTTTATACTTTCATGCAGATGATTCTCAGATCTATCCAAGCTGTGATCCTGCAAACAAATACCTAAAGGCTGTCACCCTGCTAAACGACCTTCATGACATCCGCAAGTGAACGTTAATTAACGCAGCTAGATGCTGATAAAACAGAGATAATGATCATAGGTCAAGATGGTGCAAATTCCTAAATGTCAGACAACCTTGGTCCAATGTCCCACCCAATGACCCATTTTCGGTCAAAACCTAATCTAAGACAAACAAGTCAAATCAATGGTTTAATCCTGCTTTCATCATCTCAGAAACATTTCAAAGATTAGACCATTTCTTTCCACCACAATTCTGGAAGCTGTTACCTGAGCCTTCATTAACTACTAGATTAGACTGCTATAATTCCTTGGCCTCTGTCAAGAAAAAAAATCCCTCTAATCCAAAACTCTGCTGCCAGGATTTTGACGAGGAAACTGATCCTGGCTTCCTTACCCGTGCTACCTGTTGCTTTTAGAATACATTTAAGGTAGTATTGATTACTTAGAAAGCCCTGAGAGGCCTCACTCCAAGTTACTTATCTGATCTGTTGTTGCCCTACGTCTCCTCTCACACCATGAGATCCTCAGATGCGTCGCTCCTTATCGTTCCCAGGTTTAGATTAATTGACAAAGGTGATAGAGCCTTTGCAGTCAGAGCTCCTAGACTTTGAAATGACCTGCCTGAGGAGATCAGGGCTGCAAACTTTGTCTCATCTTTTAAGAACCCACTTTTTAAGAATTGCTTTTCTGTGATTTTACCTATGTTTTATGACATTTTTATTGATCGGATTTTATTCTGTACCTGGTGTGTGGCTCTTAGTTAGTTTTATTCTGTCGATGTTTTGAAAGGTACTATATAAATAAAGTAATTATTTATTGTTATTATAGTCGAGAGAAGACAGATATCTCTATGGTTGATAGCTCCAACACTAAGCAACTCACACCAAAACAATCCAGACTGATAAACAGCACCACAGGTAAGAGGAAACATATGTCTTTTTGATTTTGGGGTGAACTGTCCCTTTAAAGCCACATTACCACTTCCCCTCAGCGCCTGCAAATATCAGCAACATGGCATTGTTTGTTCTAAATGGTGTATCTGTTATTTTTAGAATAAAACTTAGGGACAGGCCCAGATCTCTGGCGCAGACTCCCCGCTGGTTAAAAAAGGCCATCTGAAATCTGATGCTAAGTGAGCTGACAGCAGCCTGTGGTCATTGTAATCCCCCTCAGAATAAGATTATCCCTCTGTGGCAACATTGGGCCAGGGTGGGCCCGGCACTCCCATCAGCCGTGTGTCTAAGACGGAGCCCACTGAACACCTACTGCTAATCTCTGTACACAGACACAAGCTGACAGGCTGCATATAAACTCAGCACCGACTGGGATTCAGCATCAGTCCCCGGTGAGCTGAGTGAAGTCTCCGAAACGACGTCTTAAGCATCAGCACAAAAATGGACCCCAGAGCTGTGGTTTCTCTTCTCCTGCTGCTGCTGATGGGCCTCTGCACAGCTCATGATGGCACGGTAAGATATTACTCACTAAATATAACAGCCACACTGTGTGCACACTGTGTGTAATGAACGACATGTTTCCCATACCATCTTTGTCCAGGCTGATGATTAGACTGATTTTAAAAATAAAGCACAATAGCTCACTGTTTCCTTTGTTCCCACAGGATCATGGTGCTGATGATGGTGAGTGACCAAACCTCAGTGCGTCGATTTAACACAGTGTGTCATTGTGAAAACAAAATGTGTGACTTATGTTTTGCCTCCATTTAGAGATCTTAGCGGATGCTCCTGACACAGAGGACTTTACTGCAACCATTCTGAAGATGAACAATGGTGGGTATTCAATAATGATATTAGAGCGTGGGAACACCGATTTCAATATTAGTGCTGACTTCCTATATTCAATAATAGAAAACATATTTAGTGGAGCTGGATTTCATGCTTTGATTTTACTGATGTTTTTGCCAGTTAGATTAAATGCATATTTTCTCTTTTTTTCAAACAGTATCTAATAATTTCCTGCTGGAGGGAGATATACTGATACCAAAAACCAGGACTGCTATGAAGTGCATGAATAAAGCGTATAGCTGTCTGTGGCAGAAGTCGGCCAACGGGAATGTTGAAATCCCTTTCCTTATAAGCGAAAAATACGGTATGTTTTACTATTTAAGGACTCTGCATATTGACGTCTCTTTCACACAGTGAATCTGTGATGTTACTGACAAAGTCCTTTCATGCACAACTGCAGACAACACTGAGAGGAGTGAGATTTTACGTGCCATGAAGGACTTTGAATACAAAACCTGCATCCGCTTCGTTCCACGTGCAGCTGAGAGAGCGTACTTAAGCATTCAACCAAGATACGGGTGAGTCAATGACTACAGCAAACCTGCATGTGAAGGTGAAAAATACAGGACTAGTAGTGTAAATAAAATTAGCGTGACAAAGATAATTCATGTGTTAAGGGAAAGTGATCAGAAAAAATACTTATCTATGCTTATCTAGTATATTGGGTATCGTGTAGTTAAAAAAGGAGCCCAGAGCCTCTGTTTAAAGCGATGGTTAAAGGGTTAGTTCAGTATTTTGCAACCTGGACCCTATTTTTTGTTTCTAAGTGACTAATGGAGACAACAGCTTTTTAAACTGGTGCAATATAGAAGGATACTGCTGCAGTCCACAGCAGCGAAACAGGCTGCAATGTAACATTAAAGGGCAATTGTGCACCGTCAATTTACGACCACTAAAAGTGTTTGTTTTTGCCACTGACAGGCTCAGATTATTATTATAAGTGTTTGACAGCATTATGGTAAAGATCCCTACAGAGACAGACCTTGTTAAAGAGGAAGGTTCTTTTTGTTTAACCAGAAACAGTCCCAAAATCCCTCTCACCAAACCCACCAGACTCAATTCAAATAAACAGCAAGTTTATCATCATAAAACACACTTCATTCAAAGTCAACAGAAACAAAATATAACTCACAAACTGTCTTGGTTCGTCTTTCCACTGTTCAAACAATACCCAACTCTGTTTGTGGTTGAACATAAGGGATCTTACTCTTTAACAAACAGCTCTATCTCTGTTGGGATCCTTTCCATGATGTTGTCAGATCTGAGCCTGTCAGTGGCAAAAACAAACACTTTTAATGGACGTAAACTGATGGTGCACAAATGCCCTGTGTGGTGAAACTGCAGCCTGTTAATGTGGTGCTGCTTTCAGCAGTCTCACTCAATACTGGACCAATTCCAAAAATTGTTGTTCTCATTAGTCATTAGACAAAAACATGAGAAAATACAGTCCAAGTTCAGAAAAACCGAAGTTACCCTTTAACATATTTAATATCTACAAAGCAAATCCAATTCAGTGTTTGTTTATTTTTGTCCCCTTCATATCACAGCTGCTCAGCATACTGAGGCCAGAGAGAGATTTCATTCAAACACAGTAACATTAGTAAAGCTATTTAAATCGCTTTGACAGCAGAACAGCTCTGCATCTCAGGCTTTCTTTGGTGGTTTCCTATTATATTTTGTGTAATGTGCTCTGTGCAAAGGAGAGTCAGTACAAAGAGATGCTAAACGGCTACAAACAGACACAAAACGACCACAAAGAGATGCAATACAACTACAAAGAAGCACATGAAAGTTGACGAATGACTCTAATCATTTTGCATCTTTCAGTTTGGGGGTTTTGTTCCTTTGTCTCATATCCATCCAGACTCACAGGTTAACACTGCTAAATCCATCTTGCAGCATCATTCTTGCCTTTAACTACAGCAGGAAATGCTTTTTTTTTTTAAATCCGGCCCTCCTCCCTCTAGCTGGTTGAAATACTACCCAAACATTTGGCGGCCTTCTCCGTGACCTCTCCACAACAAGAGCTTTAGAAGAACAAAACAACAGAACAGTAAACTGCAGGTTTGGCTTCAAAGCAGCTGTTTCTGCCTGTTGTTCAAACGATGTATCTGTAATTGAAACGACTCAGCTCCCAGCTATGCTAACCCAAAAAAATAAATTAATTAACTCCCCAAACATCATCAGAAAGCTAATTATTTAAGCATGTACACACAGGGTCGCTGATAATGTAAATTATGTGAATTTATTAATCAAATGTGGAGTTGCATGTTGCATATTAATCATCTCCATCTCTGTTCAACTCTTTTCTTAACCATTAGCTGCTTCTCTATGCTGGGTCGTATCGGAGACAAGCAGGTGGTGTCACTGCAGAGGTACAGCTGCATAAAACAAACCATCATCCAGCACGAGCTGCTGCACGCGCTGGGTTTCTACCACGAACACACTCGAAGCGACCGTGACCAGCACATCAGGATCAACTGGGACAACGTGAAAGAATGTAAGAGCCCTGCAGCGTCGTTTCGGATTGGTTGATTCAGACTGTTTTATTTTCTCGTCTGTCACCATATTGATCTTTATGTTCACCAGATTTCATCTACAACTTCAAAATCAAGGACACAAATAACCTCAACACTCCGTATGACTACTCCTCTGTGATGCACTACGGAAGGTGAAAGACGTTACTGAATCAGTGAAGTCAATGTTGGTCATAATTCTGTTCAGCAACTCATTTGTGAAATATTTGTTTTAATGATTCTGTAGAACGGCCTTTGGAAAGAATGGAGCAGAGACCATAACCCCGATCCCTGACTCGTCTGTTCCCATCGGCGAAAACGACGGACTGTCCAGAATCGACATTCTCAGAGTCAACAAGCTCTACAAGTGCTGGCGTTACCTTGGATAGAAGATCACTGCAGTGTGTTTGCATTCTGACATCATACCTGACGTCCATGTGACTGTATGACAATAAAGTGGTCAGCCTTCATTCATATTTTGTCTTCTGTCATTGATTTGACTGCACAGTATATGTAGTAGTTTTGTGTTCGACACAAAAAGACAGATCTGAGTTTTATCCAATGTTTGGTGTTAAAGAAAATGTACTAATTTGGAGAGTACAAACTCATAATGGTAAGAAGCATTACGAACTGGACACATGAGGTTTAACAGACATAATGAAAGACAAGGCATATCCGGCACATTCTCAATCCTAACTTATCAAACACTAGGGGTGGGGGGAAAAAATCGATACAGCATAGTACTGCGATATTTTTGTGTGGCAATAACATATATATCATATCACAACAACCGCAGTAATGCTGTATATATAATACTAGAGTATTGTGATAATATCGTATCGTGGATCCTCTGGTGATTCCCATCCCTATTAAAAATTTAATTTCGCTTAAAATATATAATAAATCATTGATGATTCACCTTGAATGCAAAGCTCCGGTCTCTGAGGGTTCATTAGATTTGTGGGTGAGGAAACATATATATCAATTTATAACCTACAGTATTTCGACATATTTCTCCTCCATTGCTGCTGTTGTTCAGCACATGTACATGTGACGGTTGGGCTTTTTGATTAAGCCCTCCTCTGTGACTGGACGGCTCTGTAAAAAGTGACGTGACGAGCGCTGCGTTTTAGCTAAAGTTTAACATTTATTAGCTCTCAGCGACCGGAAAAAAACGCATACGTGCAGCACTCAGTGCCTCATCATGCTGCTTAAATTTGTAGGAGAGTGTACATATGTGGCACCTCTATTGGAAAGCCTCAAGAAAAAGCACGTATCTTTTCGAGGAGTCGAGGCAAAGCTGTCCACATGTTGATGTTTTTCTTTCTTTGGCATTTAATGGCAGCCTAGAACACTTAAACACATGTATGCTGCCCTGTCAGTTCCAGAAGATTTGCAACCATTACATATTCAGAATTTTGGCACCAACTTGGTGCTGAAGTATCTGTTCATGTGACATCCCTACAAAAGACACTCTGGAGTTGCATTCTGGGAGGTGTTGACTCATGAAGACTAGTAGTAAAGTAAGTAAACAATCTACATGGGTCCAAGTGTGTTTCCTGTCGGGATGTTGGGTACTGGAGTAGCTGGCAGGAAGTAAACAGGGACCAAAGCTGTTACCATAGCAACAGAATGGCAATGAAATGGTATAAAAGCCCAGTTCAAACCAAAGACTTGCAACAAGACAAGTTGAAACTTTGCCACTACTTGCAATGTGCCAGTCTGCACGGTTCTGAAAATCTGCCAGTTTACACCAATACAACCAGACAAGACGGTGTGTCATCGTCATAGCAACTACTCTCTGTACCTTCAATTTAACTTTCCAGCTGTTCAGGCTAATTTTGTAGCTAAATATACTCAGTAGCTTCTTAAAATGCCACTGAGGATAGTGATAGTGAGAGACTTGCTACAGCTGCGTTTCTAGTAGTGATGAAACAGCGAAAAATATAAACAAAACGACCTCAGATTCAGATGAGTCATATCCCGGATGAATACAGCACAATCATTGAAATAACCAGCACCATTTGCGTGGGGATGAAAATGAGACCAATTCAGGCTCGGCAGGGTCGGAGGGCTGTTGTCAAGAGAGTACAAGCATGCCGTCTGCAGAAAGTTTGTAACTCACTTGGCCAGTACAGGCTGGACTTCTGTACAAGTTGATTGGCTGTACGAACAGCTGACATACTCGATGTTCTGAAACCAGCTGCTGGCGACTTGACAAGCTGAGTCACAGGTGACAACGTCAGCCAGCTTGAGTCAAGCTAAGATGGTCCGGTTAACAGTGCTGCAGCTTTTCTCTGCAATGTTCTGAAAAAGTTTTGGTGTGATCTGGGCTTTAGGCACTTCACGTCAAGGCATCTTGGCCTGTGCTGCTTCAGTTTTGCCCAGTCTTGCAACATCCTTTTCCTTCAAGCCCCCCAACTTTACAGACTAACTGCAGTGCCAGTGGAAAAAAACAAAGTGCTAATTTGTGCCTTTAATACTGTGATGCTCATTGTGACTCAGCAAATTTGAAGAACACCCAAATGATTAATTTAGTGTCTACAGAAACAAAAATAAATGACAGCAACAAAGATCCTGTCTGATTCTGACTGTTACAAGACAATCCATTTATCTTCATTAATTAGAAACAGCTTTGTATGTAAGCAGTGAAATCCTGTTGGAAAAAAAAGGTTTCATATTTGTTATTACTACACTTTCTCCTATTAGTCCTTATTATTTTCAGTCCAAAAACAAAGTTGGGAAATGTTGGCAAAAGACAGAGATGAATTTAATTAGATACAAAAAAGACTGAAGGGCAAATATGTGGCAATATCTTCATAATTGAGTTCATTTCCATTTCGGCTCATAGTAATTAAGTTTGGGATTTGTACACAAGTGAAGAGTACAGTGTTTTATCAGAGTGGATCAGTACTGCAGTGCATTTGCAGGGCTCTCTGTAGAAAGGCAGAGATGTGGTCGGACCCAAGATAAACCCCTCTCCGACTACTCCCTAACACTGCAGAGACTTTTTCACTCGGCCAAATCCCACACTCTTGACTGTGTTTTTTTTTTTTTTCTTCCATCCTTTGAAATCCTACGCAATGTTATCCTTCTTTATTCATCCCCAGTGAGCGCGAGCAGCGCTGGGTGAGACAGGAGTGGCGGGGGAGTGTCAGGGTGAGATAAGGGAGGAGAATGCCTGGGAGAGAGAGAGAGCAGATTCCTATTAAGCAAATTTCCCTCCTCCCGTGATGTATGAGCGCACTAACAGTCACGACAGCGTTGCATGTATTCCTCCAATGTTGTGGCTTAAATGTAGCTAAAGAGGCCGTGGCACAGCAGCGCTCGGAGAGAGCCAGTGAATCTGTATAGTTCAGATGGACACAGGCTCTTTAATGTTTCATAAAGTAGTTTCAGTTCATATCAATCGTTCTGCACATGAAATATTTACAATCTACTTGTTTATTGAAATATTTAACGCTCCGACTCTGTTCATGCTCCAAGAAGCTCCAGGAGACTCTCGGACGGCTTGAAATTAGAGTATTTCTGCAAATCATGATTAAAGTAAGATTACCATTGAGCCAGGGATCCTATGACTGAAGTACAAACAGGCCACCACCGCAACACACTGTGGCTAAAAAATCAGTGAACGTTCAATGAAGCTGGAGTCTAATGAGAGTCATCTCTCCAGACTGTGAGGCTGATGTAAACTGAAACACATCGAATGGAATATTTTATCTTTCCTTTGATTGTACGCTGGTGTGCCTCCCTTGGTTTGGGTGTTACTAAAGCCTTATAAAACATTAAAGCATGGAGTGGAGGCCTGATCTACAGAATATTACCTAGCGTTACTGTCATCTGATAACAGCTTTAAAGCGCTGCCTGTAGGGCTCTTACAGATGCTCTCTGACCCCATTTAAAGGACAGTGTGTATGTGACCAGCAGGGTCTCCTGTAGGACGTCTGGTCTAATGAGTGTAGGCCGAGCGTGGGCTAAACGCGGTCTGATCTGTGATGTCACCGGTAATATGCTGGCAGGCCGTAACCGCTGGCCGGCTGAATGGCTCTTACTGTCACGTTATTAACACAGATCAGTGTACCTGCCTCTCTTCAAACACGATAAGCTTCAACACACAGCTCTGCTCAGTTCACTGCGTGAGCTGCCTAATACCCGACCAATAGGAAATTAATAGGTTCTCTGTGAGAGGTGCTGCAGTCTCAGCCAGTCCAACCTTGGAGACTGTTTCAGAGTTGTCTGTGAGTAAGGTAGGCTTTTGACCTTCCTGGGAAAAAAATCTGTTGAGACGTGTTTACACATGGAGACTCTGACTGCAAGTCTGTAAAAACCGAGAAGGGAAAATGAGCCTTTTAGTCTTTCAGTGCAAAATTCCTCAAGTTTGTTTCTTTCCCTTTTGCAGCTCAGCGAATAAACAATGTATGAAGCATAAACAGGGAATTTTGCACTAAAAAGACCAACTTTGCAAAAATGCCCTTCATGTGTCGACGTCACTGAATGAATACAGGTACGCCTTATTGCACAGGACAAGCACTGTCTGGGTTTTATCCTCACTCTCCTACATTTAAACCAGAAAGGGACCTTTTCACGATCAGTATGGAGAGAAGGAACGATAACAGCAGCCAGTAACTTAAATCTACATATAGGAGTGTGAATATTTATGATCATCATCTCATTGTAAACACTAAGACAACAGAAGAAATCATTTTAAGGGGCGCCCAGTAGGTCAGTGGGTAAAGCAGGCACCCTATGTACAAACCAAAATTTGAAATAAATAAATAAATAAATAATAACAATAAAAAATAGATGTTAGCAAGTATTTTGAGATTTTACAATGCAACATCAGAAAAAAAACGATTCATAAAATCCTACTTCCCATTTGTTAGCATTTTTAGACTTTTGAAGATTTATTTAAGACATTTAATAATAATTAAGGCCTTATTTTAAGATCAGACGTCTTTTTAAAGATCCACAGGAAGCCTGAGGAGGGAGTGAAATGAGGGTCTGTGTTGAACATATTTCAGTGGTGGATGAAGGAACTGAAAACGTGAGTAAAAATGACTTTGGTAGAAGTTAAAGGGCCAGTGTGTAAAATGGGTTGAAAACCGTTGGAAACAGTGACATCAGTGGCCAAATTCTAGATTGCAGGGCTCACTCGCTCACCCCTCCCGTCAGGTAAATGACGGTGGCCTCATAGGGACAAAAAGCTTTGCGCACGAGTTTTTCAGGAGTAGGTCTATCTAGCGACGAGGTGAATGTTTATTTAGAAATCTAAACCATGTTACGATATTGTAATGAATCCCTCACGAGCAGGAGACCAGAGGAGCGTTCGGGAAACAGGCCAGTTTATTTGAGCACTCCAGAAACTCCGGTAACACTCCAGAGGGTAAAAGACTCCGTCCCAAACTCTGACTCTTCTGGCGTAACACACACACTCCATAACTTTACACACATACGCGTT